TTCTTTGGACAGTATTCAACTCAAACAAAAAGATACTAAAAAGAGAAATTAAAAGGAACTAAATTATTCTTCTTGACGCTTTTATGTCATGTGATGACGGGTTTCAAACATGCAACTAGCAGTATGATGAAAGCTTTACGATGAAAATAATATAAAGAGCACGCTATTTAGCTTCTTTAGTTCTTTATATATACTGGATATTAGCCCTCTGTCAATAAAGGGTTGGTGAAGATTCTTTCCCAATCTGTAGGCATTCGTTTTGTTTTGATGATGGTGTCCTTTGCTTTACAGAAGCTTTTTAGTTTCATGAGGTCCCATTTATTGATTGTTGCTCTTAGAGCCTGTAAGATAGGATAAACCTACTAAAATCTGTACATCAAAAGAAACTAATTAAGAGAGAAGACCCTGACTAAAATGCTCAATCCCCATCCCGAAAGGCAAAGAGGATGGACATCAGAAGAAGAAAACAGGAAACAACCTAGAAACCTGCCACAGAGGGCCTCTGAAAGGCTCTGCCCTGCAGAATATCAAAGCAGATACTGAGACTTATGGCCAACTGTTGGGCAGAGTGCATGGAATCTTATATAAGAAGTGGGAAATAGTAAGATCTAGAGAGGACAGGAACCCCACAAGGAGAGCAACAGAACCAGAAAATTTGAACAGGAGTCTTCCCAGAGACTCATACTCCAACCAAGTACCAGGCATGGAGATAACCTAGAACCCCTGCACAGATGTAGCGCATGGCAGTTTAGTGTCCAAGTGGGTTACATAGTAATGGAAAGAGGGACTGCCTCTGACATGAACTGATTGGCCTGCTCTTTGATCACCTCCCCCTGACGGGAGAGCAGCCTTACCAGGCCACAGAAGATGACAATGCAGCCAGTCCTGATGTGACCTGATAGACTAAAATCAGAAGGAAGGAGAGGAGGACCTCCCTTATCAGTGGACTTGGGAAGGGGCATGCGTGAAGAAGAGGGAGGGAGGAGCTTATGGGGGGATACAAAGGGAATAAAGTATAATTAATAAAGTATATATCACCTATCTATCATATAAAAAAAAGAGCACGCTAATTTTCTAAAAGTAAACAGAAACATAAAATTTGCATGGGAGAAAAACCTTCCATCACCACCTCTGTTAAGTGGTAAGCTGGGTGTGATAATAATAATAATAATAATAATAATAATAATAATAATAATAAAAACTATCAACATTGCAAAAAATTACAGGCCCTGCGTTTAGAATAAAGAACCTACCTTGAATGAGAAGGTAGCAAAGTTTTCAGATCATTTTTCTTTGGAGCTTGTCATGCCTAATAATAATTTATCAAGGCAGCTGCTTTATTATGTTTCATATGAGAAACATACGGGCGTGTGGAAAATTAGCCTGTCTACAGGCAGCTCCCTGTGAGGACTTGAGGTAGAAAACATTATTTTTTTCTTTGATTGCGTGTGTTTTCTGGAGTGTTTATGTAATTGAGAAGGACCAAGACATATTTCTCTTCTGCCCTGATGTCATCTTATTTACAATTTAATAGCTAAGAATTTAAAATTAGATAGGGTAATTGAAACAAATATTACTGAAAGGATTCAGTTCTTTATTAATTTGCATGTGTTGGAAGAGTGTCACAGTGCATGTGTAGTCAGGGGTCAACTTTTCAGAGTCCGTTCCCTCCTTCTACCCAACATGGGTCTCAAGGATAGGATTCATTTTCCTCAGCTTGGCATTAGGTACCATTACCCGGTGAGTCCTCTTTACACCTCCAGATGCTGTATTTTAACTCAGTGAAACCTGCACATGAAGCAAAATTGCAAATGGCACTTTTCTGGGAATGCTTTCCTAGCGATACCTTCTGTGAACACAGAAAAATGTAGCTGCCTGGGTTGCTGGAGATAGAAACGGATTCTAGCTTAGGCAAAGCGATGGCAGAAGTGCGGTGATAGCTAAACGGTATAGCGTCTAATGATGATGCTGTCCTGCTGCTCTGGCAGGCTGGGACTTAGACGCTACAGAAAGTGACATCTCAGGAGCTGAATCTGTGCGGAAGCCTATGAATAGCAAGTGGTAGAAGAAACAAGATCTCAACAGCTCTTTGTGCTTTGTGCTGCTCAACCAGTTAGCCCTCGTGCTAGCTTGCAGTCCGCATCGGTCCTCAGATTCCATGGTCTGTCATCCCAGAAGAAAGATTTAGAGTGGAGAATCTGTCAGTTCTGGGGAAACTAACTTCTGAAAAGTTAAGGAGCTCCCTCCAGGAACACCTAGCCATGGAGACGATTTAGATGTAAGGATATCTTCCAGGGTTCATGGTCCTTGACTCACGGTGAAAGGCTTTCTCAAGAGTGAAATGGACATTAGAGATCAGTCCACACAGCCTTGGTTTGGCACCTTTTGGATAATTAAGAGTACTGCCTAGAGCTTAAAATGTCCTCCTTCCAGAAAGATCATTTTCTGTTCCATCAGTGACCACACTGCTAGACAGAAGCACCACTCCCCCATCTCCAAAATCTTTGCTATTATGATTAAATGATGGTCCAGTGTCTTCCTTTCTTGAAGAAGGATTCCCAAAGATTAGTGGGGGGAGGGCAGTCCGGGGCTAGGTAATAAACTCTAGCTGAACAGGATAGTTTTATGTCTTTCTGTACTGGGCATATTCAGAAGTGGCAGCCTGAATAAGTTAAGTTGGATTTAATGGAAATCTGTAAACAAGAAGTTGTGATCTTGGATGAGTCCTAAGGCCAAGCAGGTAACACGAATGTGTTGTCACTTGGTAACAGAGATTGAGGTGGTCTGAAATTCCCATCGCCTCCCCAAAGACATGTGGGTTTATTTATGTTTTTGAACAGCACAGTGGGCAAATAAATTTGCCTGTGTCCTGCCAGCAGGCTCCCACCCCATCCCCCACATCTCATACCAGCCTTCAGTGTCCCATTGGCATCTGCACAGGACACGGGGCCCTCTACTCTTCTTGGTATACAAAACAAACAAACAAACAAAAACATGGTAACCTCCAAAATAATTCTTTTGGTGACATTTAGATTTCTTTCTTTCTTTTTTTTTTTTTTACTGAGATCTTTTTTTCTCAAAATTAGAGATAGTGTTTCTTCAACAAATGTTTAATGTTACTGACATTAATACTTTATATGTGGCAGGCCCTAGACGAAGTCATTTGTCCACATAGTATCTTTGTTACAATTTGTTCAGTTACCTTTAGAAGTTTATGGGAATTGATACGTGTGTGCAGTGCATTATGATCGAGGCTAGGGAGTAACAGTCACTTTCCCCTAAATACTTCAGATAATTACAGCCATTTTTGGAACAGTGTGATAGTTCAGTGTGTATATACACTATGTCCTGATCAAGCCAGGGGAGTTAATGTTTCTGTTTCATTATTATTGCTTTGTATGTGGAAGCTTCAGCCTCCTTCTCTTCAGCTGTTCGTGAAGCACATAATAGGTTATTGTATGCTATATTCATCCCCTCACTGTACTGTAGAACACTGCCATTTGTTAGATCTCTCTAGCTATGTGCCCATTCATCAGCCTCCACATGTCTGTCCTCTCCACTGCTTCCCAGCAGGTAGCACTGGGAATTCTGTCCTCCAATACATTTCTGTAGCAGTCCCATGTGGGAGGAAGCATGTGGATGTTTTTTCATGCTGTGTCTTAGCTTATTGAATGTGATAACTTCTGATTGGGCCTCAGGGTCTGCTTTCATATGCATTTTAGCGTTTTCTTCTAGTTCTATGAGGGACGTCCTTGGTATTTTGATGGCAACACTATTGACCCTGAAGATTGTTCTGGTTTCTATGGATATGTTATAGCGTTCTTTCTTCCAACCCAGGAACAAGCATGGACTTTTCACGCTGCAGTGTTTTCTTTATAATATATATTGAAAGTTTTGTGATTTTCATTTGTGTGGGTCTTTTAGCTCCTTAAATTTGTTCCTAGGTATCTTCCCTGCCCCCACTTTGTAGCTATTGTCATATACTTTGTCTCCTGGGGTGTAAGAGTTTGTAGTCTAGAGCCTCCTGTGCCCTGCCAGGTCATGTTGGGTCTATAAAGCTATAATATACAATCCCCTTTGCTAATGTGGTAGGGCTATGAGGTACCAGATTATGCACAGGTCTTTGACCCTAGAGGTCAGTGTAATTCAGACAAGGAGCTGCCTTCACATGATGGCATCATGATACAGCAGCAGGGAGATAGGAGTTCTTCCTCCAGTAAAAAACCACTGTGCAGGCTCTAGGTTAATTCCCTAGATGCTCTACATGCTGATGACTACAGCGAAACTTTCCAGGAGCTGAGGTTGCCAGTGCCGGTGCTAATGAGCCTTGCTGGAACTCTTCCACTCCTGTTTTTCTCTGAAATGTCTCCCTCTCCCATTGGGCAGCCAGGGCTGCAGTTGCTGTCTCCTTCTGCTCTTATCCTGCTTTGTAGTCTCAGGTTTCCAAAGCATCTAGTTTCTGCCTGGATGAAGCTTGCAGCTCCCTGACAGTCTCTTACCTCAAGATAGAGCTATCATCTTTTGCTCTGGTTCCCTTTGGGAAGAGGAGGCAGGCCCTGAACTCCTCTATTCAGCCACCATGGAATCTCCATCCACAGGATCTCATTTTCATTCTCACAAAATAATGATAATAGTAACAATGGGTGAGAGAATGATACTTTCTACAAAAGCACATCACTTTTTTATGTTTTACAGTGAGAAAATGATTCTTTTTACCCAAAAGATAGATGCAATTCATTAAATGTTTTCTCCTGTCTGGATGTAGTGTCACAGGCCTAATGTTTCAGTACTTGGGAGGTTGAGACAGGAGTATCTTAAGTATGTGGTCATCCTGGGTTACATAGTAATAACTTGTCTCAAAAGAGTGAAACAAAAAAAAAAAAGTTAATGCTATCTTATTCTTCAACTGTGAAAATCCAATAATCTATTATGTGGAGGGAGTTTTCATCGCAGTGGTTCAAATGTTCATTTCCTATTAAGGCCCTCTTCTTGTATTGTAGATAAAGCACGGACAGAGGACCCAACCTTCTCTGCAAGGGGTTATCTGACCACTGGGCAGGAAGAGCTGATCCTCCTGCAGGAGAAAGTCAAGAATGGGAAAATGTCTGTGGATGAAGCTCTAGAGAAATTTAAACATTGGCAGATGGGAAAGAGCGGTCTGGAAATGATTCAGCAGGTAATATGATTTTCTGGAACAATCCCTCACTTATGAATCCCCGTAGACTCATCAAATGTTTAGTCTTCACAAAAAATACAGAAAAACATTCCTTTGTTTTTAACTAGCCACTAAAATTATGTTTGCAACAGTCAACTAAAAGTTTGACAATAATCTCCAAAATTTGCATTCTTTAGTTCATTTATGTGAACTCAACCTTGTAATCTATACATCAAAGCTGATGCCAAATCAATTTATAATCCCCGCCCCGAGTGCAGAAAACATTTGTTTTTATCTCATCGCTGAACTTAAGATGAAGTGTCCATAAAGTAAAAGGGGATTAGCATTCTAACTCAAAGGGACTCAAAGAGAACAAAACATAATTGATGTCGTATCAAACATTTTGTCTTAAATATGATCAATTTTAACTTCTTTCTGCTTATAACACATGTTACCTATATCATAGGTTTTCAGTAAGCGGTATCCTGCCATATTCAACTTATCTTGTGGGTTTTCCCACTCCTGAGATAATTTACCGTTCTATTATTTTCCATGGCAGGAAGCCTCCTTACCTTAGAATCCAGTTCTCAGGTGACTGCTTTATTAAACACATTTAGTAGGCTAAGTTAGGACAAAATACAGGGAGCTAATATTAGCCGAATATGTTACTTCTACCAAGAGTTCATTTTTATTTTAAAAGACAATGCAATTTCTTAACAATAGTGAAATGAGTCACTATGATGAAATTTCAAACAATACGGCATATTGGCCCAAGCAGTGTAGGCGGGAGGACTTTCCAAACACATCTGAGATCATGGCTTATCAGAAACCACTTGCCTAGAAGGGCAGCTCTGGCTGCCAGTCTGTGGCTGAAAATGGTCCAGGTTTCACAATACTAATCAAAGGCAATTATTTTTCCAAACAAATGCTAAAGAAAGTGAAGGATGGCATTCTGAACCTATGCATTGCTCATGAGCAGAATGACGACATCCTTTCTCCATCCTTACCAATCAGTCACTCTAATCCTAAAATGGGGTAAAATGCGCCCCAGTGCAAACCCACACAACTCATTTTGCTCCCAGGGATCACATATGTTTTATCATTCTCAACTCTTTAAGAAAATAAAATAAAGGTTGCAATTCAGTTTAGTGTAATGCACCTTCTGAGGAATTACATCCCTAATCATTTCTTGAAGCACCTGGTTGTTTCTATTTGTCTGTGTGTTTATATCCATGAGGAAGCATTTGAGGCAATGCAGCCATACATATGCTCACAATCCCCCATACTTTATATTCTTTTCAATATTCCTCTTCTAGCTGCAAATGTATTCATCTTATCCTGAAAATAAATTTATCAGTGGTTATTATGGCATGGTATGGCTGGAGGAGGATTGTTCTGGGGAAAATGGCTCATTTTCACGTATGTAGCCAAGGAATTTGAAGAACAGGGACGAGTCACGTAGATTCTTTGGCCCTGAAACAGAGGTGGTAACAAAGCTGAAGGCCTTGCCTTTCACCCTCCTCATTGGCATTCCCAAGGCACACAACTGCACTCAGACATCTGCAAAGCCATGGAAATAACCCCCAGGATAGAGGCCTTCCTGGGGACAAACAACTGCTCTTAGGTTTTCCTTTAAGGAAATTTATGGAGTGCTAGTACGCTTTTCACTTCTGCTGAAATAATAATCAATGTGCTAAGCAGAATAGTTGAAAAACAAAGATCACAAATTTCTGAGAAAGGGAGTCTGGTTTCTCTGCATTCTCCCCTGGGCCCTTTATTTTTTAGAAGTAGAATCCCAGGAAAGGCTATACCACACGGAGGCTGTCGATGGGCTCAAACAGTGTCCTGGCGTAGCTCTCCCCTCAGTGGAGGTCACACACATATAGGCACGCAGCTAAGGTCTGTTTCCAATCCTGATTCATAACTGATTGAGAGAAGATAGGCTCCGTGCACCTCAGTTTCCATCTCTTCAAAACAGGGTGATGCTACCATTTTACAGCTACTTCATCCAGGAATTATACCATGTAGAAAGCCAAGGTTTTAAATCTCGGTATCTGTGACCTGGTTCTGTGTTCTATGCTTTCCTTAAGGAAAAGCTACGCCAACTGCGAGACAACATTATTGGGAAAAGGCCGGAAGGTGAAACTGCCTACGGTGAGTCAAAGTTGCCCACTGCCCTAAAGAGGTGATGTGACTGAGTAAAAAAAGGTAGGAACTGAGATTCCAACAGACTGCAGTTCAAAATGACACAGTTCCTCACCATCCAATCTCTGAGCTGGAGACTTAATCTCTCTGGCTCCTTCTCTGCAAAGCAGGAGCATTCACACATCCACCCGGGAGTGCTCTGCTGACACAGACTGACCAACCAGTACTCACTTATTTCTCTTGATTGCATGTAACTTACAAATAAGATTATCTTGTTCCAATAGGTAGGTCATTCTTAGACAGTTAGATCCCCCAACTCTCCACACTGGGTCATTTTATCGATCTCAGCTCGGCCTTCTCTCAAAACCTCAGGTTTCTTGGCAGTGTAGGTTTCCCCAGGCTAAGAGTTAAGAGCTGGCCTGGGGCTAGGGAAACATCCAGGGTTAACAAACCCAATATCATTAAGACAGCAAATCTTCTCCAAATATGTAAAATAAATTTCATAATTAAAAGGAAGTTATATCATCACTATATGGCCACTTTTTTCCCAAATCTTTTCTCTTGCAAAAATTAAAAACAATATAGCTTTTAGACCGTGGAGAACCACTGTGTGGAATTTATTCTTCTTGTCTTATTGTGTTCATATTTATTTTTCCAGAGAGAATTCCTTAAGCCTTCCTACAAATGTTTTCTAAGCTAAGAATATACTTTGTAAAATAGTTAACATTATAAGGAAGAGATATATTTTTATATAACTGAGACCTACAAACTTACATGATTAAATGAAAGAACACTATATAAAACAACTTATAAAATTATAGATTATATAAAAAATTTTACTAAAATATTATGTAAAATATGATCTATCACATCTAAAAAGTGCATATTGAATGCTAATGTTTCTTACAATGGCCATAGTAGATCGGTTTTATTCATAATCTATAAATAAGATAATAGGATTTGAGAAACTAGAAAAAAAAAAACAACAAACCAATTAGATTCTACCACACATTTTTGTTTGAATTCAAAAGTCAGCAGCAATGGCTTAACAAAGAAATAGTTCTTTTTCTTAGCCACAGTGGAACAAACAGCACCAGGCACACACTCCCATTTTACAAAATACTAATAGTGATCAGAGACAAGCAAGTAACTTTGAAAGTGCACAATAAGGAGTCTATATTCTCAGAGGCAGGTAAGACTCATGTAGGGAATCTAACCAGGGCCCATGTCTCTGCCAAAGGAGGAGTGGCGGATCCTGTGAAAGCAAGGACTTTGATAATGTGAAAAGATCAGAGTTGAGACAAATGGTTTTGGGGTATGCACTGAACCACACAAGAGTGGACTCAGCCCTTGTAACCTCCCCTCCAATGGAGGAAAAACAAAACCTCAGTGTGGAAGCTCTAGTGTGTCATAGTGTGTCCCACAGTACACCCTTTGTCCACACTTCTTCGCTTGCAAATGTTCATTGCAATAAGTTATTGGTCTGGTATGAGGCCTCGTGCATCTGCTACTTTATCAATACTGGAACCTCAGTGGGATTTCTCTTGGATATCCTCTTGTTGCCCTGTGTCGTGATATCCTTGGTTCTATAGGAACAATCTCTTCATGAACTCCAGCATTTCACTGAGGGGGTAGATGTTGGGTTGGGCCAATTCAAAGCCATGGATCTGGGCCTGCAAGGTACCTGGCCCAGTCAGCCTGCTCTTTGTTCTCTCCCTTTCATGTACTCAGAGCTGGCTCACAATCAACCTCTGCTGTGGAGAGGGGAGGTCAGATCATCTCTGGTACAAGTAGGGTGGGGAGATTAGTGGGGTTAGGGTGCAGGGTGTGAAATTCACAAAGAACCAATAAAAAGTCTTTTCAAGAAAGATTTGTAAAGTAAAAAAAAAATGTTGCAGGTGCTATATAGGATCCACACTAGTCTATACAGTTTCCAACCCTTCAGGCCACGCCCCTCAAAACAAAAACAGAAATGGATAACTGTGTAGGCTGATATGTACTTTAACCTGTTTCACTATGGTAAGCTTTTATTATCTGTATGCATCCCATGATAGCATATTGCATAGCGAAATAACTGTAAAACTTATTTTTAATAACAATACAACTTACTTTACATATATATATATGTATGTATATATAAGAGTGGACTCAGAGTCACACAGGAGGAATTAGGTCTGTGGCTGAGAGATGAGCTAAGTATGTGCAATGTAACACCATGCAAGGAGCAGAAGCTAGCAACCTCTAGGCCCTGAACGGAGGAAGTGGGGGACAGAGAAAGGTTGAGTAGAGCTCCTGCCAGACTGGCTCCCATCTTAACACTTCCCAGACCCCTCTAAACCTGCTGGACTATGACCCTGACTTAGAGTAACTTAAGTTCAAGACATGCCTGGCAACTTCCAAAACCAAACTATAAAATCCATAGGAGAAGCAGAGTTTGTACCTCAGGCCTTATGTAACACTTGGAGATTTGGTAAATATTGAAAAAAATTTATTGAAAAAAAAGAACAATGAAATCAAACTTATAGAAGCGTGTCAGAAGCTGGACTGTGTACTGAAGCAAGATCCTATAGAAACTATAGGATACAAGTGATGTATCCAGCCAAAAAAAAATGGCTAAAAGTTATACAATAATAAATAGGAATACATAGTGAAAAAAGGGAAAGCCATCCATAGTAAGAAACATATAGTTCCATGCCGACCTTTGTAAAAGAGAACATTCAACCATCTCATATAACGATATGAATTCATTCAAAAGATGGCTTTAAAGAGTGACAAAAATAAAACATCATGAAAATGTTTGAAATAATTTAAATAACAAAAAATAATTAAAACAACCAAGTGGAAATTATGGAAAACAACATTAAAATAGAAGAAAACTTTTCTAGATGAAATCAGTATGTCACATAAAACTAACTGTTATTAACTGCTATTAAACATGAAGATGGATTAATACACTTTGCCCAATATTATAAAAAAGATAAATCACATGTAGAGGAAAAGATTAAGGATATTCACTAAGATATTGTTAGAATCAATGAACACTTAAAGACTGTATGGTAGCATCTTCAATGAGCTACAAAAAAAGAGAAAAGAACACTTCCAGAGAAAATATCCTTTAAACTTTTGGTGAAATAATGATGCATTTAGATAAATATAATTTGTAATTAGAGGATTTTGTAGAAAAATGCGATGTAATAAACGTTAAGGAACTTTATATAGGTAGGAAAAATAGTAACAAAAGTAAATTCAGATCCACATTAAGGGGATAAAAACACTGAAAATATGTAAATGAGGTATTTATAGACTGTTTTCTGTGTTTTGCTAAATTATTTTAATGACAACTCTTTTAAGCAAAATTTGCACATAAGTTATAGGCTAGAACATGTCAAGGAGAAAGATATTTAAATGATATCACAAGGAACAGAGAGGCATGGCAAAGTGGAATTGGGTAAAATTTTATACATGAATGATGAAGTGCAAAGTATAGAATGTGAAGAATCAACTAAGGAACAGGAAGGGGTGGCTAAAATCAGAAGTATGAAGAGGAAGTATAAGTCAGAAAACAGGAAGGAGGGCTGTTATCTCAAAGTAGTTTGAGGAATTGAGCTTGTGTACTTTGTTAACAAAGCAACCACTTTGATATAAAAATAAAGGATGAGAGAGACAGCTCAACAATAGGGAGCACTTGCTGCTTTTGCAGAGGAGCTGCAAGCCCCACCCCCCATAGCTTCCTAGCACCCACAGGGTAGCCTACGACTTCTGGCCCATCTGAGAACTGTATGAATTTATTACACGTGCAGGCAAACACTCACATACATAAAGAAATAACAAAGACATGAACCTAAAAAATCAATAGAGGAAATTAGAGTATTAAAAACCATTTCATTTTGAAGAATAAACCATGAAAACTGTGAAACTGATATATAACAAAATAGATAAGCAAAAATGCAAGAAATGAAAGTAATAATGGTGGGCTGGAGAGATGGCTCAGAGCTTAAGAGCACTGGCTGTTCTTCCAAAGGTCCTGAGTTCAATTCCCAGCAACCACATGGTAGCTCACAACCATCTATAATGAGATCTGGTGCGCAGACACACATGCAGGCAGAATGTGGTATAATTAATAAATAAATAAATCTAAAAAATAAATTAAAAAAAGTAATAATGGTAGTAAATTGAGCAGTATCAATAATTGTGTTCAATGTAAATTGATTAAACACTTAATTTTAAAAGAATATGTTTTTATAATGCACAAAATAGAACAACTAAATTTAGACCATTTAAAAGAACATTTATTTTAAATACAGGAAAGATAGCTAGAAAATGAAGGTCTACTACCACGCCAAGGGACAAGAAAGCTATCATGACCCTGTTGATACACCACAAGATAATCTAAAGATAAAACCCCTGGCAGGGGATAGAAAGATACATTAGCTTGAAATAAGGTTTAACAGGAAGATATGAGAGCCTAGATGTTTCTGTCATTTATGTTACATGCATGGTCATAAGTATTGTCACAGCCAATGAAGCAAAATTTGGCAAGACTCAGAAATGTTCCCACTTTTTTCTCAGTAGTTAGTCGAACATATGACAGAAATCAACAAAGTTGCAGAGACCTGAATCACAACTGATTCAACTAGTTTGACATGTGCTGAATAAGGCATGAAAACATGGAGCTTGCACTCTGCTTGGACAGCCTCTAAGGTGGACCACTGCTGAGCCATCAAAAAGTTTCATTACAGTCTGGAAGAGCAAAACGCTAAGAGAAGGCTCCCTAAGTGTTGCAGACTCATTCCAATATATTTAAGAATCAAATACAATGATGTGAAATGATTCCCTGTTGTTGTGGGTTATTAATGTTTATCATTGATTTATCTTTTAGCTAAGCAGCCGTTCTTCCTAAACAAGCTGAATACCCAAATCACCACACAGAGACTAGGATTTATTTAATTAACCTAGAGCACAAGGCTGGGCAATAGTTACTCCATCCTAAACCTCCAAGCCTGCATAGTTTCCTCCCATTCAGATTTCACCCATTATACTTGCTTTAGTCATATCTTGGGTCCGGTTTATCTCTCCTCTTGGTTTCCAAGACCTCTCCTCCCACTCACTTCCTTCTCCTCTCCTCTGGACCAGGATGTCCCACCTGACTCTCACCATTGCATAGCCCTGGCTCATTGTTTAATAGACAATTACAGAGGACAAATGGTGGCATGTTTATACAAATTTGAGACAGGTGATGCTTGGAATAAGCATCACAATGCAATGTCTGGATTGAAGCCAGATAGTGGGGGAGAGAAATAAGCATTTGAATAAACAAGTCTGTAAATTATATACATTCCAAAAGAACATTATACCAACATGTCCCCCTCTAAGTCCAATAAAAGACTCCCTTTTTTTCAATTTAATAATAAACATAAAAGTTATGAAAACTATTAGGTAAGATTTACATATGCAATTTCCAGGTCACGTACATTTGGCAACTTAGCAGAAAGTATCTGATTATCCTATCTTGGCACATTTAGAGTTCTATACCTAAATTAATGTATTCCCTACATGAAAACATTTTTTCTTTAATTCTAAACAGCTTAAGCTTAATTGTGGAACTATAACTATTTGGTCTTCAACCCCACCAGAAACTTGAAAAGGAATAAAATTAGTTACTAGAGTAAATAGGAAGTGTATGTTAGCAGCTTCCAAAAAATAAAAAATTGACAGAGACAGTTTGCTGCCTGAACAGTCACCCATAACTCTGAATAATGCTGGAGCATCATCTTCAGCCTTCTGGCTCAGAATATTTTGACAGACATATATATGAAGCAGGAGCTATTTAGGACTTGCTTACCCTCTCTTGGCAGAGTTCAGCAGTCAACTTGTCCTGCATTTAAGCTTGTCCAATTTTGGCAGATTTTGTCTGTCATGAAGTGAGGATATTTCTTTACCCAAATGGCTTGTTTGCCACATTTGAAGCCATTTCCATATGGAGGTTCTTCAATGCTAATAATCTTCTTTGAGGTGGATGGGGTGCTGCCAGGAGATGACCTGTGTCATTGTTAAAGAATCTTTAAAATAATGAAGATATTTTTAAAGACCATATTTTGTAGGCCTCTGAAGTTTTCACCTATCTTTATGTAATCAGTCTGTCTACAAAATCATCACAATGAAACCAGATAGTGAGGTAGAAAAATCAGCATTTGAATGAACAAGAGTAAATTGTATACATTCCAATTCTTCTGAAGTGAAAGCTATTATAAACAGAATATCAAAAGTTATAGAATGAATCAAAATGCAGTTAACAGACTAGAGGAAAATTTAGGAGCATAAAAGTGAAAAGAGTATACCTATTTCTATGTGACTTTTAAGAGATTATTATTTTATATACTCAATAAACAAGACCTGAGTAGGAAGAATAAGGACCATAAAAGAAAAGAGGAAATTTACAGTTAAGTAAATGGGATTACACAGGGCTGTCAGAAAAGGGTATAAATAAGGGAAAATGTATCTTCTCAAGTTTGAAGTAAACAAAAAAATGATAGATAAAATATGCTTTCCTCTAGGTTCATTTCTCCACATGGTTGTAGTATAATAATATCAAAGCTTCAGATATTCTGGGATTGGTGCAGAAAATAAATATACTACAAATAATCACAGGTTTCTGTTGTCATGGACAGGGTATCAGCTAAGTTACAAGGAGGCTGATATGAATCTCATGGGGGGCTTTCACATATAGAGGCAAAAGATAACAAATCGTGGCTACTAATGTATACATTTCAGATGAGTGAGTATATAATCATATATGTATATGTAATTCTGTCTGCATCTAGGATCTAAGAACAGTGACAGCCCAGCTCTTAAAACACATCTAAAACCCAGATCTTAGTTTACAAAAGCAAGTGGCCAAGAATTGTGTAAAAAAAAACCAAATAAACAAACAAATGCTTGATATCATTAATATGCAGGAAAAAGACAAAGGAGCTTCAACAAGATGGCAATGAACAATTGCCAGGAACATGACTTAAAAAAGGCTGCCAGACCAACCTATGTATGGTTTAGAATGTAGAACTGGATGTACATGATTGCTGATGAAGGGTCAAACTATGTAATGATTTTGAAAAGGTCACATACATGCTAAAGTGTATGGTCTGGTGATTTCAACCCTGGATATTTTTTCAATACAAGTAAAACCTCGTATCCAAAAAAAAAAAAAAAAAGTCTATGGAAGTTTGATTTATCATATCTGGAAACAATCAGAACGTCAACTAGTAACATACATAATTACATTGTGCCTCTATTTGTGCTATGATACCACCTACACAATAAAAATGAATAGTTCTCCTCTGCTCAGTATCAATGAATCCCAGCCAGTTCTGTGAGTGAAAGGTATTAGATAAACAACTACTACAAGCAATGTAGTACTAGATAAGCTACTACAAGCAATGCTAATGTATAGAGAAGGCTAGCAGACCTGAGGCTCTGAGGGATAACAAGCTTATAGGGACTAACAAGGGTTCTGAGTGTCTGTTCTGTGTCTAGGAAACCTGATGGACTGGTAGGCACATAGTTGACAGGTTTGTTTTACAAATCATCAGCTTGCACACTTAGAAATGCTTAAATTGTATAACACGCAACCATTTCTGGAAAAAAAAAACAACTTAGATTTCTAAAACAAATGGAGTATTTCAGACTAAAGAAATTTCAATGCACAGAAAGAAGGATTCCATCTGTGGTCAAACAGGCTTCACATTGTAACACCTCAGGACAGGTGTCAGGAAAGACAAAAGAGATGACAGGCTTAGGGTCTCTAGGGTCTCGTGATATCGAGGGTAGGATTAGGCTTCTCAGTTTACATTGTAAATTTAAGTCACCCTAAGCCTGATGACCTGAAGTCATTAAACAATAAAAAGAAGGTCTCTTAAGATAAATATTGAGCAAACCTCACGGAATGTTTTGGTTTTGTTGTTTATGTTTTGTCTTTTAGATAAACTCACCATTGTGCACCATCCAAGTGGTAAGTGTTTAGTATTGAAGGATTTAAACTATAACAAAGTTCACATTAAGTGTTATTAATTGATGTAAACCCACGAGTTTTATGTCAGTGCACTTTGCATAGATCGCATGTATATGTGCAAAACCATCTGACATAAGAAATAAATGTATGATGTCTCTGTAGCAGCCAGCAGTGCCCATCATAATGAAGAACAGGGACTTTGTGATTTGATTCATTGTGTCCTTTGGCACATAACTTAAGCTCTTAGCCTTCATCTGTTTTTGTCTTTCATTAGCAGAGTATTCGATGTGGCATTTTCAAACATGATTTGTCTCTGTTGACCTTTCTCCTCTCTCTTCTGCCTACCATGTTGCCCCGTTATACAGCACACCCCGCCCCAGGAGCCCCTTTTTATTTTCATAGCACATTGTTGCATTGTTCTCTCTCCCTTTCTCAGCACCTGTTTTTCCCCTTTCATAGTCCTTTTTCTAGTTTCACAGTCTACCCACATGTATGCGTGAAAACATTAAGAGTAGGATCAACATGTGAAGGAGAGCACACACAGTTTTCCTGGGGATTCCTGGCCGGGGAGAGCTTTCATTACAAAGCCTTTCACATCCTTGGTTCAGTTTATTCCATCCTATGGTTTTCTTTATTTTGTTGTCTGTTTGCTTGTTTGTTGTGAGGTTGTGAAATGTTTTCTCCAAATCTTTCTTAGGAAGTTTGTTATTGGTATAAATGAAAGCTGCTGGTTTATTTCTGTTGGTTTTGAATCCTTTACCATTTTGCCATGTGTTTATCAGATCTCAGAGTTTTCTGGTGGAGTTGGTATAGAATCACATTGTGAAGAGGAATAATTTATCTTATTTTCCTATTTTAACCTTTTTATATCTTTATATTATTTAGTTTGTCTAGCACTTTGAATACTATATTTAAAAATCCCTCAGATTTTAGAGTAAATGCTTTCAAATTGTTCCTATTAATTATAATATTGGCTATAGCTTTGTTTCAGATATATTTCAAAATACCTCATAATAAAGATATATAATAAATACAATTTACTAAATATATAACAAATATAGTATATATCTTTATTATTTCGAAGTATGTTCTTATTTCTAATTTCTCCAGTATGTGGACTTTATAAAGTGCCTTTTCTGCATCTCTTGAGATAATCATGTGATTTCTGTCCTCAATTTTATCTGTAAGATATATTATTCGTAGTGTTTTTCATATGTGTGCAACCAGACTGAAAGTACAACCTACTTGGTCATGGTATTTGATTGATTTTCTTAATGTGTTTTTCAATTTTGTTTGCAAGCAAGAGTTTTGGTGAGTTTTTCATATACATCAAGGAAATTAATCTGAAGTTTTATTTTTCTTTTCTTTTTAATTTATTTTTATTTATTACCATTTACTCACTTTGTATCCCAACTGTACCTCCCCCCAATCCTGCCTTTTCTACCTCTTCTCCTCCAATGCCCCTTCCCTAGTCCACTGATAGAGGTACTCTTCCCCTTCCCACTGACTCTAGCCTATCAGGTCTCATCAGGACTGGCTACATTGTCTTCCTCTGTGGCCTGGTAAGGCTGCACCCCACTCAGGGGGAGGTGATCAAAGAGCCAGCCACAGAGGTCATGTCAGAGACAGTCCCTGTTCCACTTACTATGTAACCCTCTTGGATACCGAGATGCAATGGGCTACATCTGAGCAGGGATTCTAGGTTATCTCCATGCATGGTCCTTGGTTGGAGTATCAGTCACAGAAAAGACCCCTGTGCCCAGATATTTGGGTTCTGTTGCTCTCCTTGTAGAGCTCCTGTCCTCTCCAGGTCTTACTATCTCCCACTTCTTTCATAAGATTCCCTGAACTCTGCTCAAAGTTTGGCTATGAGAATCAGCATCTGCTCTGATACCCTGCAGGGTAGAGTCTTTCAGAGGCCCTCTGTGATAGGCTCCTGTCCTGTTCCCTGTTTTCTCTTCTGATGTCTATCTTGTTTTCCTTTCTGAATGAGGACTGAGCATCTTACCCTGGTTCTCCTTCTTGCTTAGCTTCATACTCACTTATAAGTGGAATTTAGACATATAATATAGGATAATCATACTAAAATTTGTACACCTAATGAAGTTTTCTTTTTACCATGTTTATGTTCAGTTATGGCATTAGGGTAATACTGCCTTCATAGATATGAGACTTTGCCTTTCCTTTGTGTTTCTTGGAACATTTTGAGAAATTTTGTTGTTGAATCCTCCTGAAAAGTTTGGCTGAATTCAACAGTGAAACTTTTCAGTCCTGGGCTTTTCTTTGTGGATATTTTTGTCAACCTCGTTTATCTTTTCAAAGAACCAACTTTATTTTTTTCTGTGTATTGTCCCTTTATAGTGCCTGTTTTGTTTTGTTTTTGCTCTAATCATTATTTTTGCTATCTATTGCATTTAGGTTTAGCTTGTTGTTCAAGAGCCTTCTGGAATACCATTAAGTTATTTGAGATTTCTTTCCTGTTTTCTTTCTTTCCTTTCCTTTCCTTTTTTCCTTTCTTTCTTTCTTTCTTTCTTTCTTTCTTTCTTTCTTTCTTTCTTTCTTTCTTTCTTTCCTTCTTTCCTTCCTGCCTCCTTGCTTCCTTTCCTCCTTCCTTTCTTCCTTCCTTCCTTTCTTTCTTTCTTTCTTTCTTTCTTTCTTTCTTTCTTTCTTTCTT